TGTCTTTGGATTTTGAATTTCCATAAAGCCTATAGGTCCTTTATGCTAGGAGCTTCGCCAATTGTTGAATTGTGGTCTTTTATGCAAGATTTGGTCTTTGTGTTCATATGGCTGAGAGTTCACAAATACTGTTGAATTGTTGATCAAGCATCTTAAGTTGCCAATTAAATTAGATGCAGGTTCAAATTTTTAAAATTCTTTATGAACTTTGCTTTCTATACTTCTTGTGCATGGTATCTACTCTTATAATGAAAATTTTGATTTACCGGGGGGGAAAAAAGAAGAAGATTCTACACAAGCTTTTCTGGATAATCTTATTAATTGCTTGATTCTTTGATCCTGTCATCAGAGAGTAGGTGAGAAGGCAAAAGCTAATGAGGCGATTGGCTCTTCTAGTTTGGCTAGCTCAGTCCTCTATTCTGCTGAGTTATCAATTAATGAAACCGACGAATCTTCCCTGATTCATATGGATGTAGACCAAAGCTTTTTGCCTATAACAACACCAGTTAAGGCTGCCATCTTTGAGAGTTTTGCGAGGCAGAATATTGCAGAGTCCGAAATTGATGTCACGAGCGGGATCAAACAATTGGTCCACTGTAGTTACGGGTTTCCGTCTAATGGTAATACGGAGTTCATAGATGCCGACTGTCCAGTGGCATTGTTCAATAAGTTGGTACTCTGCTGTATTCAAGAGGGAGGGACTTTTTGCTTCCCAGCTGGTTCAAATGGGAATTATGTGTCTGCTGCAAAATTTTTGAAAGCAAAGATTATCAACATCCAAACCAATCCTGAAGCCGGATTCAAGTTGACTGAGAAAACGCTTGCAGGTTCTTTGGAGAATGTCCATAAACCGTGGATCTACATTTCTGGTCCAACTGTCAATCCAACCGGCTTGGTTTACAGCAACGAAGAGATAAAGACTTTATTGGCTGTATGTGCAAAGTTTGGGGCGAGGGTTGTACTAGATACCTCGTTCTCGGGCGTGGAATTTGACTCTAAGGACTATAATGGCTTGGATCTAGGTGCTACTATGGAGAAACTTTCATCTAACAACCCGGATTTTTGTGTCTCTCTTCTTGGGGGATTATTTTTTAAGATGCTTACTGGTGGGATTAAATTTGGATTTCTTCTTCTAAACCAGCCTTCTCTTGTGGATGCATTCCATAGCTTTGGAGGGTTAAGTAAGCCTCACAGTACTATTAAATACACATTGAAGAAGTTATTGGATCTTCAAGAGGCGAAATCTGGGGACTTGTTGAATGCCATTGCAGAGAAGAAAGAACTTCTGGGAAGTAGATACAAACACTTGAAAGAGGTATGTCTTGCATTTAAGGAACAGTATTCATTCATGTTAGAAACTAATACTCTCTTGATAAATACTAAATTTGAACTGTAGATATTCATCCTTCTTTTTCTTTTATCTGAACCTTGTGTTTATATCCTATTATCGTGGGGCTTGAGCAGTCTGTTATCATCTCCAAGGGGCGTTGTCAATAACTGATAACAACAGCATGTTAGTGTTGAGCTCATTTTGATGTCCATGTTTGTCCAATTACTTGACATTGAAAGGGCAACTTTATATACTGCTTGTGACCTTGATTTGACTAAAAGCATGTTGGCCACGCTTAAAAAAAAAAAAAAAAAGTTCCTTTACAGTAACTTTTTATATACTTTGAGATAAAAAAAGGTTACATTTCTTGAATTAATTTTTATCTTACTGTGAAAATAACTAACTTATTTTCAATTTTGACCAATAAATATATGTATTTACTTGAAACCTTGTTTACTTGTTAGTAAATTTACTTATGAGTATACATTTTAGGCTTAGCCAAACACGCTCTTCTAATATTTTATCTTAAGTTGTGCTGAGTTATCTCTGTCTCTGATAAATGATATAATTTATGCTTCAGAATTATGATTCTATCATCTCTTCTTCCTTCACTTCATCTAATGCACGTTCTTGTGATATACGTACACAACAGACACTTGAGAAGTCTGGTTGGGAGGTGCTCGAAGCTCAAGCCGGTGTGTCAATTGTAGCAAAACCATCTGCTTATCTTGGCAAGAACGTTAAGCTCAAGAATGGCGCCAGTACCCGGGAAATCAAGCTTGACGACTCAAATATTAGGGAAGCCATGCTCCTGAGTACTGGTTTATGCATCAACAGTGCTGCATGGACCGGAATTCCTGGTTACTGTCGATTCACAATTGCATTGGAAGAAAGTGATTTCAAACGTGCATTAGACTGCATTACTAAGTTCCAGAGCATTATCGCTAATTGAAATACTCTATCCCCATTGTTGCCCCTTGATTCATTGTTTTTCACAACTTCGGTGTTGTGAAATAATATTTCATCGACCTGCAGAAAACATATGCTGTTTTTCTCTGTGCACGGTCGTGCATTCTGTTAACCATTTATCGCTTGGTTTGGCTTTTCTACGCCTTCCGAGTTTGAATCTTCTTATGGAACATTACTTATCGTGATGATATATATATCCTTGATTCCTGTCTTTCTATATGAAAATAGTGATTAGATCTGTCTTATGTCAATTCTTTGCTGGTGAGCTCATTTTGAACTCTTAGTGCTCTGAGCAGGTAGGTGTGTAGATTAGTAATATTAAATTACGTTCAAGTATTTAAAAGGTGAAACCATAATTCTGTTATAGATTACTATCCAGATAATGGTAGATTAAAAATGTAAATTTTTTTAGTGGAAATTATAGAATTCCCGGCCTTTCAAGATTGAAGTGCAAAAATCCGGTGGCAAAATTTTTTATTCAGAATTCAGGTAGTATGTATATCCTATTTCATCCAACGCCAAACCCTAGAATTCAAATTCAATTTCCCGTCTTCTCTCTACATCTCTCTTCACTTCTTTGCCTTTTTTCTTCGAACGCCGACGACCATTCAAGCTCCGGCGACCGACGATGTAAGAGTTGCCCTGACCTAAACAACAGTGAAGGAGCTCGACAACCCATTCTCTTCTCTCTCTCTTCTCGATGTTCTGTCATCGTTCCGTCCGGCAAGAGACACATCTCCCACTCCAACACGACACACAGTCACTGTAGATCCGGCTTTTCTCTGGTGGGACACACTTCTCCATCGCCAACATGTCACACCGCAGCTGCAGATCTGGCTCTGTTACTATCGTCTTTGTTCTAGATCTCTATTATTATCGTCTCCGTCCCACCTCTCTCTCGTCTCCATGCTCTGCAGATCTGCCTTTTCTCTGGTGAGTGCATGGTTGGCGATTTTGTACTAGATCGGACTCTTTTGCTACCTGTGTGGCTGATTTGGGTGGTGACGGGGTGTTGGTGAGATGTTTGTGGGTTGGTTATTGTCCTGGTGGATGTGATGGTTTCCAGCGTATTGGCAGTGGAGATGTTGGTTATGTTTTGTTGGTGTGTTTGGTGGTGGCAATCGTGGTGGTTTCTGATGACGGTGAAGGCGTTCGTGTTAGCAGTGGTAATGTGGGCAGTGTTGGTGAGGTTGTGGGTTGTGTATTATTGGTGTGTTCGATGGTGGCAGTCATGGTGGTTCCGACGACGAAGGAGGTTGTTGGTGACTGTGGTTATCTTGATTTTTGTTGGCATTTAATTTGATCTGGTGGTGGTGATTTGTTGGTATTGGTGTTGATGCTGTTGTGGTGGCGATGACAGTAACGTGTTGAGGGTGGTCACAAGTGGAGGTAATGACAGTAACGTGTTGAGGGTGGTCACAAGTGGAGGTGATGACAGTGGCGATGCATAGTGTTGCTTGTGGTGGTATGTGACCAGTATTTGACGCATGTGACCAACCATTTAGTTATTTGCAACCAACTGTTTAAATGTGACCTAAGAATTTGACAATGTGTGACCAATTAATTTGACCTTGAAATAATTTGAGACCTGTTAATTTTGGATTTGTGACCTCGAAATAATCTGTGACTAGTAAATAAATTTGTGACCTATAATTATAAATCCGTGACCATTAATCATTTAACCGTGACTTTATTATATTTCATTTATAAATATTTTCAATTAATTATATAAATACCTGAATTTTGAAATTTTAAACTACGTACCTGATTTGTGAATTGGTATAAACAATACACCTGAACTATGAACCCTCTCCCCCCTCGCCCCCTTCTTTTAAATGCAATAAAGTGGGTTAGGATATATGGTTTACTTATTTCACTAATGGATTGATTTCTTTTGAATAGGTAACATAATATAATCCAAATTCAAAATTTGGAAAGAAAAAATAAAAAAATATTAAACGTAGAATGTAAAATTTCTGACTTAAATTCGAAATCAGCGATTTACCATTTTATGTTCATGTCTCAAGTTTGACAAAATAACATTATTGTGGAATCTTATGAGTAGTTGAAAATTTGTTATTATTATTATATTTTTTCTGTTTAATTATGGACTCATAGTGTACAGATATATATATTTTTAAATATTTAAATTATAATTACTTACCAAACCATGAACTTTTAAGAAATGTGCATAGTAAATAAATTTTTTTTTTTTTTTTTTATATCCAGGTATCGACCTTACAGTGACTAAATCTTGGAGTCTACACCTTGGCCCCTCAAGCTGCAGACAGGTTAAACTGCAAGTTGTGCTTCAAACTGACAAGTGCTCAAGAGCCCTCCAACTGATCTGTCAAAGTCCCAAGTAAGTCATATTTTCCCATCTTTATACCTTGCCTTCCAGTAGAGCTCCTGGCTTTTAGGATAAATCCTGCCTTTCAAGAGAATATCTGCCTTTCCAGAACCTTTCAGGAATTGAACTCACGACCTCTAATTTGTCAATTTTGAAGCGCCCTCATTTTTGCCAGTTGAGATGTTCTATAAGGGGCATGTGCATAGTAAATTTTATGTTTAGTGAAATATAAAACATACATTAACATAATTAATATTTTAAGCCGAACATGTTCATCCGATGTTAACGCTCCATTATCCATACCCTTTTTTTAACTTTTCCTGAGTATTCCAGAAGTAGCATGCATCTTCCGCAAAACACCAGAATCCACTTTCACCAACCAACATTATACAGAACCATCCAGAAAAAATACATACAATTCTCTCCTCTTCTTCCTCCCCTATATAAGTGCCATCTCTTCCCTTCCATTCCTCAGTTGAGTCAGATAAATAACACTCAAGAAGGCACTTGAAGAGAACTTTGGGATTTTGGTTCAGAATTCGTAAGAGATGGATAAGGTAAGAGTAATCTTGATGAGCTTTCTCGTATTGGCTATAGCGGCAGCACTTTTACCAACCAAAACTCACGCATTGGTACCCTACCCCCGTTCCATATTCGACATGATGTTCCCCCCGGAGGACCCTTTCAAGATCCTCGAACAAACCCCTCTTGCCGTCCCTAAAGGAGTCGAAACCCTCGATGCCCTCGCTTTAGCCCGGGCCGACTGGAAGGAAACTCCCACGGCCCACATAATCTTCCTCGACATTCCCGGAATGAAGAAAGAGGATGTAAGTATAGCGGTGGAGGAGAACCGGGTTTTGCGGGTTAGCGGGGAGCGTAGGACGGAGGAGGAAGTGAAGGACGAGAAGTGGCACAGAGCGGAGAGAACTACTGGGAAATTTTGGCGCCAGTTTAGGCTGCCGGCAAATGCAGACACGGAGAATATTAAGGCACATTTGGAGAATGGAGTGCTGAGGATTACTGTGCCGAAACTGGCAGAGGAGAAGAAGAGGGAGCCAAAGATGATTAGCATTGCCGAAGAAGGGAATTCCGGTCAGGACATTAAGGCTAACAAGGCTGAACTGTAGAGAGAAATAATACTATGTGACTGTCTATTGCTGTTTTGTTTAACTAAATGTGGTTTGATGCAGAATGTAAGAATGATGTGTAATTTTGTCAATGTTTTTGAGTGTAAAATTTTCTGTGCTTGAATAAACTGAAGGATGTTGCTTTATTTGAACTTTATAAGCTTTTCGAGTGAATTTAAGTATTCTGGTGAGTAACTGATCATTTTGGCAAAATTTTGTGCATCTCTACCGCCTTACAAAATTCAGCAGTCACAGTGATCCGTGGAGATTGCATTGGTCGTTGTTTTCAATGAAAATCGCGATTAGCTTTGGAGATTGCATTGGCCGTAGTGACTCGATTAATATAGTACTAAATCTTGATGAATTTGGCTGCAGTGGCTTGATTATTACTATGGTTTTCTTTTCTTTTTCAATTTGAAGATTCGTTACCTTTGCTGTACTGAGATTGGTTGAGGAAGATGCCTTATTTTTTTAAATTCTTTTTTCTTGTGTTAATATATATTTTGTTTGTATTCCATTTATAACTTTTTCTGTTTTGTTATAGATAGATTGATCGCCGCGAGGCTAGTAGTGTGCAACAAGTAGAACGATTCTACTTTCTCTTCAGTGGGAATGAAAGAACAGAATCGGTATGGGTCTCCTTTGCTTTTCCCTTATATTCTCTTTGGCAAAAATTTGTCATGGTCGAAATGGAAAAAAGGATGAATTTTGCTACATAATTGAAATGTCGTCAATGGATTATGCTAAGAGGTAAGAACTCCATAATTGAAACACTGTAGATGGATTATGCCAAGAAAAGCTTAACAATAATTTAATATTTTGTAAAGTTGATGACGAAAAGTACAAATTTTCTTCTATTTTTTACAGTAGTAAAAATTATTACTTATTATTTTTCTTTTTCTTTACCCTGATTTGTACTTAAAAAAAAATTTAATAAAATTAACAATTATTTATTAAATTATAGGGAAATTTGCAGTCGAGGTTCAAATATTTTTATTTTTTTTAGATTTTACCTCAATTTTCATTTTGTTTTACCCACAATCCAAAATTTTTGAAATATTCTCATCACAAGAACAAAATAACATAAAACGTTAGTCAATTCATAGGTTGGATTGGGTCGGGATGGCAATCGCGGACGTTGGAGGGCTTGAATCTACAATAATGGCCATGCAGGTGGTTTGAGGGTGAGGTAGCGTGGGGGTGGGAAAAAGTTTATTTTTGGTTTTTATATTTAAAGGGTGTTTGAATCCCATTTTTATTAAAAAAAAATGTATTTTAAAATAGTAGATTTATAGAAAATGTGTGGTTGAAAAATACGAAATTTTTTTTGTTATATGTAATATTATTTTAATGAATAATGTGTGATTGAAATGAAGATAGGGAAAAATGTATTTTGGGAAAAATGAGAATCAATCAAGGTCTTAATATGTTTTAATTTTTTTAATATGAAAATTCATTTTCTTTTTGCCCTTTAAAAATTAGTGAAAATTGGAATAGGCCGTTGACCTTTGGTGAACTAATGGATTGACTAACGATTCATATCATTTTGTTCTTATGGTGAGAATATTTCAATGATTTGGAATCTTAGGTGACATAAAGTGAATGTTAAAATAAGGACCTCAAAAAATAGAAAGGTCTGAAATGTTAGCTGCAATTTTTCTTTAATTTTAATAATATATTTTATGAGATTCATAATTTTTAATCACATATTTTATCAATTTTTATATAATAATTTTGATTTTAATATTAAGCCTTCATTTTTTTTTTTTATCAAAAAAGTCATTTTCAACTAAACATTCTTCCATATAAAAATTTGACATTTAAATTCAAAATTTTTGTATATTTTAATCACACATCCTACGACATAACACTATTTAAATATGCAATTTGGCCCAAAAATGGAATTCAATAAATTTTTTACCGTTACATAAACTGAATAGCCCTTGTATTATTTTCTCTTACCTTCACCGAATCTCTATCTACGCGGATTATTCACGCGAACTATCCGTTTAACTCTTCATAAACCCAGAGCTCGAAATTACTAGAAATGGCGGAAACTGAAAACCCACTTGATCCTCAACCCTCCAAAGAAGAAGAGGCTACACGTGGAAGCGAAGAACATACGCCCGTCGATCAGAAACCTAGTGATTATTCTTATTCCGAATCCGATTCTGATTCCAATGACGAAACAAAAGCGAAGGCCCAAACTAAAGTCTTACAATTGGAGCTCTACAATGATCCTTCGAATTACGATGCTCATGTCCGAGTAAAAACTGATAACGCCCATTTCTTCACTGACACGCTTGTATTATGGTCCGTGATTAATGATATTTGGATAAAAAGAAGTTTCTATTGATACATTGAACGTTGCCAACTTAATTATGAAATTTTATTGATATACATAAGCTATGTTTTATACAAGTTTATGGGGAGAATTTGCGCAAGACAGTCCAATGATCTAGCTTATAATTGCAGATTTGCTGTTTTGCCTATTTAGGTCTTCGCTGTGCCATGCTAAAGTTGATTTGCTTCTCTCTTCCTGTGAGTCTTGAGCATGGCTTTGTATTTATTTCGATATAATGTGATATATTTAAACATTCAAAATTCAGGATAACATGGCTTTGTATTTATTTCACTATAATTTGATACGTTTAAACAATTAAAATTCAGGATAAATTTGTCCGGTTCCTTTATTGTCTCATAATTTGGAGTTCATAATTTTTCAGCTTTTCACAAGGCCGCTTATGTTCATTTTGTTTTTCCTTTTGCATTCTTTTACAGAGCGGATGCTTTGCCTGTGGTGGAAAAGTTTTACTAGGGTGGGCTGTCTGATTATCTGGTTTGTTCTGGTTCTTATTGCCAATTCTGAGTCTTTCTGAAAGTTGAATTAATTAGTAGCCTGTACTAACCCAACCTTAGAAAAGTTGTTTTTGACAATGAGTGAGATATCTGTAGTATCAAATTAAAGCTCATCTCTGTATCATCTTTTAGAAGCATGAAGTTGAGGGAATATGTAAAAAGGGATTCTTACACATTAGGGTGCAGTTTATCAAAGAAATATAGAGAAGGTAGTTATTACAACACCTTGAATCACATTTAAGTTATGCAATTAGATTGATGTATACTTTAATGGTTATTATTCAGAACTATGAACTTAATGTAGTGTGAATGAGCTAGCTTGAGATGGGCTTTGTGCTTGGCTTATTTGTTCTTTGAGCCAAGCTTCTATCAGCTCTCCTGGAAAATGATATCTAGCAACTTCATCAACTGAGTAGGTAAATGATACTGAGCAACTTCGTCCACTGAGTAGGTAAATATTAAGAAGCTTCGTCCACTGAGAAGGTAATGAAAGAAATGTATTTAAACTTATACAACAGACATAAGAACTGAAAAGTAGATGAGTATAATGAAGGGTGCACTCAGTTCTGACTGCTGGTTGTGCCTACATAATTTATTTTCCAGTCTGAAATATACCCGATTCTATGCATATGCATACAGATCTTTTCCCTTTGTGGATGTTCCCCTCTGTAGATTTCTTTCTATAAATGTTTGAGGTCTGGTTGGACCTTGGCAAGGTTATATTGCAATGGAAATTGAAATGACCCATGTAAATGAAGCTAGATCCCTCTACAAGAGATGCTACAGTAAAAGGTTCCGTGGGACGGGCTCAGAGGTAGATTTAGTGTTGTATTAAATTATTAAAGCTGTGTAATATTTTGCTTTCTATAAAAATCTTTCTTCTTTCAATTTCTTTACTTCGTTTTGATTCCTTCATTCTCGTCTTCTTGGACAGCATGGGATATAAAGTTAGTTTTTCTGAAAAATGCAACAAATGATGAAGTGAAACGGTCATGTTTTTTGTAGAAGGCTAGTTCTCTCTTCATAATCATGATTTAGATTTGTATCTGAAATTTCTAATGGAAAGTGCATGAGATTTATATCAGATTACATATTGTTTCTGATTATCCTTAATTCCTGAAGAAATATATGTTAGAAGAATAAAGGATGTATTTGGTTTAAAATAAAGGAAATGGAGGCTTGGTTACATAATTTCTGAATTGCGGCATTCCAGAAATTGCAATAGAAAAGAAATAAGGGAGCTTTATGATGATTTTTCAATCTTTTATAGTCCATGTTTATTTTTGTTAAAGCAAGCCTAGGCGTGCCTCTAAATGAAATGCACACAACGGGGTCTCTCTTTTGGTGAACCGCAAATGAAACTTTTGAACTCTCTCTTTTTTATGAGTGCTTTTTTGTCTGAAACACATGTTTTTTAGTTGATATGTGGTGTTGATAATTGCAAGTTGAAATTGAGTTGTTGACAAAATGTGTAGAAGCTTAATTTGGAATCATCTCTGGTATTGCCTAAATGAATATAATTTCAACCAATTTAATAAAAATTAAAGTGCATATTATAAGTCATTGGTTGATAAAGGAGTGGCTAGCTCCTGATATTTAGTACGATAAATATGTGAAATTGACCCTAAAAGATTGTGAATCAGCCCTATATGTGAGAAATCACTCTTCTGGTTGCAAATCTAGGTCTGTTTGTTGGTCATATGGGAGGAAAGGTTTGATGATGAACGACGTGAGTAAAGTGGGTAACGTGGTGCTTTTTGACAACCCATAGCAGAATTGAGGATGAAGGGGAAACTTTTATGTGCTTTTACATGCTTGGTTTAAAAAGTCTAATCTACTACCATTATCGTATGTGCTTTTTTATAATATTTAACACTTGCTATCAATAATGATAGAAAGATAATGTACAAGCAAGCTTGTTTTTGAATTGCCTTGATCCAGATGCATGCCTCATTAGACCAATTATTTGATCTTACTTGCCTTAGTTTCTCTAGTTGTCCTCTTTTATATAAAATATAATAGCCATATATGTGGTTAGCTTAGATTCGATGATTGATACTTTCATTTCTTAAAAAGCAGAATCATTCAGGAAATGTGCCATTTGTGGGTTCGTTTGAAAGAGAGTATGGTTCGGTGGAAGACTTCGATCTTGCTGTCCAGAGGGATTTTTTTCTGCTACTGTTACTTTTGATTCTTCATATGCCGATTTAGAACGGTCATGTTATAAACTTGTATTCTTTGATGTATTGCCCAAAAATGTTGTAAATTATGCCTTTATGAATTTAGCATCATGCTATCTATTGCCTTAATGTATGATGTTTGTTGAGAGGCTTTATTTCTGGAACCTATATAGACGTAGAATTATCAGTTAATGCAATTGCAATGTTCGTTGCTACTTTCAACTTTTATCCTTCAATGATGTTTTTAGTCATGGTATTTATATACACAAATATGTGCCCCCAAAAGTGCTTTATTGTGTTTTTGCTGCTTCAGTTTCTTTTGAGCCAGCTTTAGGCTTCTTTATGTTAAGCGTTCCTCTTCCTTGGTCTCTGTTTCAATTTCTTTGGGTTGGGACGGTGATTCCTTTTGTCCTACACATGAATTATCAAGCTGTTACTGATTTGGGTCCTAGGCAGGATAGTGAAGCCAAACAAGAATCCATCTTTCCTTCATGAAGTTGTAGATGATTGGGTTTAAAATAGTTTTTGTTGTCAATACCATTATTGCAACTTGCAAGTGCAGAGCAGTGAGTAGGTTCTTTAGCCAGTAATTTAACCCCTGTTATAGCAAATACTGTATGACTACTCTAGATAACATAATGTCAAGTATTCATCATTTATGCTTTATGTACTAGTCGTATTGGATATATTCTGGATCGGGTCACTTTCAAGCTTCATGAAATCATTGAAAGGACCTATGATATTTGTGTACGCTGAGAATGCATTTGGGTTCAGGAATCTTGCCATAGTCTAGAATTCAATACTGGTAGTGTTTATTCAGCATAGGTCTGACGGGCTTATTCTACGTGAAAATAATCACTGGTAAAGGGGAAAAAACCGTAAAAACTGCTTGTAGACAAGAGGCTTCATATTTGCCTTTCCAAGGAATTTTTCAGGAGATCCTTTACTGATTATCACTTAATTATGATTTTCTTATATTTAACTAAAGTTACATTTATTAGTAGCATATGTGACTAAACTTGCTGAGTATGTCATCCTGGAAAACAATTCAAACCCAATTTTGCTAATGCTTCTGCTATTATTTCCCATATTTATATTGTGACAGGTAACTCCTCGTCTTCAAGAGTTGCAGCTATTCAAATTGTAGCAGGAGGACAAAACTGTTGGTGCGCCAACAGACGAGAGAGAAAGCCAGTTTCAAGTTCAATGGATGAGCAGCCTCCTGCAAAACTAAGGAAAGATTTGGATCAGAAAAACAAGAAAGCGTATGAAAATGATAAAGGTCAGGGAAGATAGTTGGCTGAAGCAAATGAAATTGCCCTAGTACATGACAGCAAAGCAGAGAGCGCTAGCAGTAAGTTGATGAAGAATTGCTCTCCTAGAAAACCTGTAATATATAATGACAAATGCACTGCCTTCATATCTAACCTCAGCCTTCAGGCATGTTGCCCGTTCTCTTCACTTCTTTTTAGGAGGCTCGTCTTTAAAGCTCGCACAAGAATCAATAATGTAATTTTACTGTAGCACTAACTAGGCAATGATAACTATCCGCAGGCAACTGATAAGGATCTATGCAGTTTCTTTAGCGATGTTGGAGGAGTAGTTGCTATTCGGATATTAACCGACCAGGACAAGAGATCAAGGGTAAATTTCAAATTTTATTTTACTCAAGAAATTGATAACAGCACTAAATGCAAAATGATATTGGTTTTCCTTAGAAACATAAACATGCTGTTAATCAAGGTTTGATGACCTCTTTTGGGTCCTTGCGACAATCTTTTTAACCAAAAGATCAGAGAAATGTCGCTCTGTAATATTGACGTGGCTGAAACAAGATTATGTTTTATTCTGGAGACAATTAGGCACGAACACTTTTTAAGATCATTGCAGATAATGGCCCTGAGCAACTGGTTTTTATTGTATTTGATTCTTTGCATCCTAAAACATCTGCTTTTCTTGAGGGAATTACCTTCTTTCCAAAATGTTCGTGTCATCTGAAAGTAATTTCTGGATACAACTCAGATTCAATTTTCCCACTTGAATTTTGAGTGATTTCCATGAAATACCTAAGTTATACCTATTTTAAGCTAACAAGTCTGAGATTGTAGCAAAACATTCAGTGTGAGTTCCCAAGAATATCGGACACTGGATTTGTTATGGATTTGTTATGGTATTTGTTATTCTACGTGCCTTCATTCCCTTCTTCTGTGTGCTTCTGGATTGAACTAGCCTCTCAGATACATCATACAAGATGCTTAACACTAATTATGTTTTAACTTCTAAGCTGTGGGATTTCACGGGACAATCGGCCATTTTTTTCTCAATATTTTGTCACATCTGTAAACTAAAATATTTTTGTTGGAGATGTCAGCACTCCCTTCTTTTCTGTTCTCAGATGAACAGGCAGCTCTTTTGGTCCCATTTTAGATTTATTGGTGTGATGATCTTTTTTGTTGCCCCGTCTTGAGTAATAAATGCTTGTAGTTTTTCATTGCTTTTAGTGCCTAAAGACTTCTAGCTTTTCTACAATTTGCTGGGCAGTTGTAGGACTGCATAATGTTGTTTCTTTATGCTTCCTTCAGTTAATTTTTTTGTTGTGGTGGCGGTGTGTTGATTTTCTGCTACTCCCAAGACAAGCTGTTTGAAGTTGGACGGTGATATCATGAAGTTTTGTTGTCTGAAAAGGTCATGTTATCTTCTACTTGTAAAATTTGATGTGAAGAAAAGGTTTTAGCTAGCCAACCATGTTTCCACTGTCAAATGTATGTCTAAAGATTTGAATGGTACGAGTGTTACTGCAAGATAATTTCGTTCTTATCCCAAGATAATTTCCACTGTTATTCTTTTGAATTTTTCTTCTTGTGGTCTAGCTATCCTTATTATTCATACCTCAAATATATGAAAGGGGCTGACATATGTGGATGTCTCCGATGATGCACACCTGGCTTCAGCTGTGGAGAAGATCAAACAAAGTTTACTGGGCAAGAGATAAGCACTGCAAGGTCAGATCCCCAGCGAGGCAGAGGGAAAAAAACAACTGCTGGGCGTAGCTCTTAAATTTGACTGAGGTATGCTGAGATAATAATTTTTTTGAGAATCTCCTAGCATATCTGAACGTTGTGATTCTGTTGCCTTCAATCTCTTATCAACTATTGTTAGTCGTCAGTTCAATGAGTTGTGTCTGTTTCTTTTAGTCTGCCTTTATGTGATGCTCAATTGTTGAACTGAACTTGCAGAAAGCTGTCACTAACTTATTGTATGATCCAGTAGGGCAACCCTCCATGGTTTCTGATTAAATCGCCACTTGAAATTAATCCATGCCACTTGCAGTTTTTTTTGTGTTTGATGCATACATATTTGTCAACATCTCATTTGACTTCGTATCTGCCAAATTTGAAATTGTAATATTAATTTTTATTGTTGCAGCACCTCAAAATTTCAGGGACTGTGGATAAACGAAGAAGTAATGCAGGGGAAACTGCTGACACTTCTAAAGGGAGAAGGGGGCCTCAACCACAATCTGCGAGTCGGGCGTGGAGATAATGTGCAGCTGATAGGAAAGAACACATTTGCAACGCCAAGAAACGTGAGAGCCTTGGCTATTCCCAGCAGGAATAAGGTGTGATGCTACCAAAAAATATTACCAGAAAGATCTCGAACTTGATGATCAAACTTTGCTTTGATGAACACGAACGGTCTTTGAATACCTGTAACAAAGGCAACGAGGTGTGTGCTCGTCGTCCTTCCGATAGTTAAGTCAGATAGGGAATTTAGTGCGTGAAGCTATAAGCTGAAGATAATGAAAAACGTACCTCAAGAATGAGCACAGGTTGTGTATTTATAGGTGTTAACGGTGGATTCCTAGAAGAACTTATTCTGTCACGATCCTTATCTTCGTAGGAAAAGGAGTTAGTGTTTTACCTCAAGTATTCAAATCACTGCTTGAGTCAAAGAAGGAGTCTAACAGGGTAGGGATTGTGGTCAAAGTAGGATTATTGTTCCCATAGGTCGTATAGAAAGGCTGACGAGTCGACATACATACCCCCGACCTCAAATGCCCAACCTTGTTTTGGTGTTTTTAGGGAGTACTGAGATCGGGGTTCATGGGTTGAGTTCGAGATTGACAAGATCTGAGATCATCACTGGCCCCCATGCATCGAGGTCGTAGATTTCCGTCCAAGCCTGGTCTACGAGCGAAGATGTAGAGGCATGAACGTCCATGTATTTTTCCACGTGTCGAGTGTTTGATGGGATGTCAGAGAGCGATCTCAGATGGTCGTCACGTGTAATGTCAGGGCACGACCTTAGATTCTCGCCACGTGTCTTGGTCCAAGGGTTAAGATTGCACAACCGTTGGTATTCCTCAGTCCCCTATAAATACCCCAACTTTCACCCTCATTTTTCACTTTTAACTCTCATCTCCCAGTAAATCGAGTTCGAATTCGGGGATTAGAGGGGTTTGTGAGCGACCATCCATAGAGGTAAGAGTTTGAGCCCTTGAGTTGTTTTATTTGATTATAGTATAATGTCGAGGAGTGATAGTACTGGGTCAAGTAGCAATGATAGTAGCCAGGCTCCTAGAGACTCGAACCATAGTGATAGGCCTGAAGATGTAAATACATCCATTATTCCTGTGGCCATCCCCGTTAACTCCCATATCGACGTCCTGACATACCCTAAGGAACTGACCAAGTACAAAGAACATGTAATTATTAAAATAGCTAGAGAGTTCGGGGTCATGCCAATTCGTGACATTAGAACCCCAGGGACAACTAAGACCGTGTTAGGAGCTTGGGAGGGAAAGATAACCTTTTTTAGGGACGCTCTTAAGGCCGGGCTTAGGTGGCCACTTCACCCATTTTTCATCCATTTTCTGACCTCATACTACCTGTGTCCTGGTCAACTAGCCCCGAACGGTTGAAGGTTATTAGTGTATTTCTTCATACTGTGTAGGTGCCTCGAGGTTGAACGTAGGGTCGACCTACTTCGAATGGTTTTTGATATGAAATTCTCTTTGGGGTATAACTGTTTTATTTATTTATCCACCAAGGAGGGGTTTAGAACTCCTGATACCTCGAGCTCACTTAGGGGTTGGAAGGAACATTTTGTATTTTTGTGAAGCCTCAAGACCCCGACCATCCCTTTAGCCCGAGGTGGGAAATCCCTGATAATGATAGGTTTAACGAAGGTCAGGCATGAGGTTCTAGAGAGAGATAGGCTGAAGTTAGTGAACCACGACCCCCTTGCAGACAAGATTGATTACTTGCTTGAAGACGACACCCTCGACCTTGCTAACGTGAAAGGCCTCGAGGGTACGATCTTTCTTTTTATGTAATCTTTGCTATTTCATGTGGAAACGATCTATAGTTCGAGCTAATGCCTTGATGTATTTTTACTTGTAGAATTCAAGACGTCTTTCGATCCATCAGCCCTTTTGGATAACGTTCATAAAAAAGCAAAGGGCCCAAAGTCTAAAGCCCCGACGACGACCTCGTCCAAAGGGAAAAAGCGGGCACGGGAGGCCGCCCGTCTAATCATGGTGGACTTGGGGCAGGGCTCACAAAACCCGACCCTTCCAAGGCAACCAACCCCCCAACAACAAGTTCGAGTTTGTACCCCTTATTATGGGTCAGACCTCTTAGCTGATGATGACGACCATATGCCCACCAAGTCGCTCGAGGAGTACGTCGACTGTGCTCTCATCCAGGGCATAGTTGACAAGTATGAGAAGGAGGTCGAGATGAATGAAGGGGTTCGGACTCTCGAGCTCCTTACACTGAAGGTCGATTTTTTATATGAATGCTTCTGGTACCCTCGATTGGTTTCTTAATTTGTACTAACTGATAAGTGTGTTTTTACACACATATTTAGCACTTTTTGGGACTTTATTATTGATAAAATTGAGTAGATTTCTATTTATAATTGTGTAATTGTTACTTTTGTAGGCTAAAACCCTGGGAAGAAGTATAACGAGCGAAAAGAGAAGGAAAAGGACTTGAAGTGCAATTATGGAAGGGCCTAAATGTAATAAAAGTCAAATTTTGAGGACCAAATTGCACTAAATGAAAGTTGAAGGACTTGATCTACAATTTTGAGATTTTTTGGTCAACATTTTTATTATTTTATTCTAGATATTTTTAGGATATTTATGTTGCGTCTAATAATATCTTTTTTTATATATATTATATTTTATCCTTATTTTATGCTAGATATTTTTAGGATATTTATGTGTCTAATAATATCTTTTTTTATATTATATTTTATACATATTCCATATATATACTAATATAACTTGGTAGGTAAAAAAAAAAATTCCCCAACTCTTTCACTTTTCTCTCTATCTCTCTTGGTCTCTCTCTCTCTCTCTCTCTTTTTATTGATTTTTCTTCTTTTAGTTTTATTTTCTTTTATTAATTTTAGTTTTATTTTGGGAATCAAGTGGATATAGCAAGGAGATCATTAAGGAAAGCTTGAAAAATACATTGAAGGAATTACAATTCGTATTTAAAAGGGTTTTATCTCAACTTTTGTATTTCTTTCATTTAGTTCTTCATGTTATTAAATGATATGTTTATGAGAATCTCTTTGTTATTTTGTTAGAATGATGAACTAAACAAGTTTATGTTGGAATTTATGTATTAGCTTAACCTATTTTCATTAATATCGTGTTATATGTTGTTAGATATGCATGTGTTATCAAAATATTGGTGTATTAATTATCATGTTTAAGATTACTACATTTATTTGGCGTCAATAGATGTTGTGGTTAGGTAGTTGCATAATTATTGAAAAATAGTTGCACATAATGGACCGAAATAATTAATACCATAGGTTTGTATGGTTTCGATTATACGCGTTTAGGTATCCAGACATGTATACCTACCCTATGTGACTCGTTGAGTTATTTTCACAAAAATTGAATGCAGTTGTTTGGTTTAGAAAGACATAGAAATATGTTAATGCCAAGCAATTAGGGTTGATATCGCTCGACAGAGGTTATTGACTAATTTTGAAAAATTGGGTCTAACCACATATTTTGGTAATTTGCATCGACGCATAATTGGCTTAAAAAGGGTCGAGTGAAATCATAAATTCCAACATCTTTTAAAATCAAACTTTTCCACTTTTTAAGTATTATTTAAGTATTTTAAATCAAAATCGAGTTTTCGCCTTTTTATAGTTTTTAAAATCGAACTTTTAAATGTGTGTATCTTTTTTGTTAATTTGAAACAAATACACTTGTAATTGAAAACAACACTCTCTGAGGGATCAACTGGGATTTAAAAGGTCCATTATACTACTTGATCGCGACCCGTGCACTTGCGGCGTGCCATTTAATACCGATCACTAACGTCGGGCTCCATACTTATTTTTGCAGACACTAAGCGTAGATCGGGGTTTGGGGCTCAAGGGCTTGAATTCCTCAGATCGCATAGCCGAGCTCGAGGTTAAGAGCGAGGTTGCGTTTAAGAGGGCCCTGGAGCTTGAAAGGACCCTGGCGACAGCCAAGGTGGACCTTAGGAAGGCTGAGGGCGAGGTCGGGTTAGCTCTTTTAAGGCGGAGCTTATGAATGTTCGAGCAGAAGCCCAAGTTCAGGCCATCGATGACTTTAAGAAGTCTGATTAGTTCAAGACTCTCCTGGGTCAGTACGGGTCTGGCTCGTATTACTATGGGTTGCGGCTAGCTCGTTCATTCCTTAGGACCAAGCTCTCCGAGGATTTGAAGCCCGTAGTGGAGGAGTTAAAGATTGTGAATGAGCTCGCTAAGGACCACAAGCTATCCTCCTCTGAGGGTAATGGGGATGATGATGACGACGATACTGGGACCCCCGACAATGGAGGAGGGAGCGACCCCATCGACCTAGATTAGGCCCTTCCCCGACCCCGAGACTAATATTTTTGTAACTTTTTTCTTTTTGCTCGTGTTATCTGCCCGATCTGGATTTATGAACTTATTTTGATTTTGATTAAATGCAAAGTTTATTGCCCAAACTGGGCTTCTGTCTTTGAGAGGGAGTTTTATCAGTTCATGCATTTTATTATTCCTACGAGATTGAGCGTTGATCCTGTGTTCACGTATTATAATTTTGAATCCAAGCTTTTATTACAGTTTAGAGTTCGGTTGTTAGTGTAGGTCCCATGTCGTAATCATTTAACTCATAGCTCGAGTGTGTGTAATAGTTCGGGTGTAATTCTTATCGTTGAACTATGGAGACATCGATCCTTTAAACAATACTGATCGTGGGGCGTCAATTTCCAAGTTCAATGGGGTATGTATTGTTGGGGGCAACTAGTTCGTGCACTAGTGTTTGGTATTGATTTGATTCTTTGCTTATATCAAGGGGGGACCAATTGGTTGCTGATGAATTAACGGAAACGTCGATCATGGTTACATGAGGGGCAATTATATCATGCCCCAACCTCGATCTCAGAATTCATGCTTGGTTGAGCATTTTGGGATCGATAAGGTCGGGGATGGTTATATGTGGGCAATTATATCATTCCCCCACCTCGATCTCACAATTATTTCATTGCTCGTCATTCTGGGATCGATGAGGTCGGGCTTATATGCCCGACTTGTTACTGCTTGAGGTCATGTGTGGAATTTGTCGAGTGTTAGCTGCATGCGCGGGGCACAGCCTTATACTAATTTTGTAAAGGTATTAGCTGCATGCGCGGGGCACAACCTTACACTAATTTTGTAAAGGTATTAGCTGCATGCGCGGAGCACGGTCTTGCGCTAATTTAATAGGGAATCAACATCATAAAAAAAATTCTATGTGCTATTAAAAAGGCTCAAGGGCGTTTGATACCCAAGCTTATTTGAGCATGAGCTAACAGGGCATTAGAGCCCGAAAAGTAAAAATGAAATTAAGGAAACATGAAGCGGGCATGCAAGCCCTAAAGGAAAATTATAGGTATAGCTAGTCACTTGTAATATATTTTCAGATTATCGGCGTTCCATTGCCTTGGGAGTGGTTTCCCCGATGTGTTTCTGAGGCTATAGGCTCCACCTTTAAATTTTCTTATGACCTTGTAGGGTCCCTCCCATGTCGGCCCAAGTTTCCCTGGTTGGTGTTCGACAGCTTCTACTTTTCTAAGGACAAAATCGCCAGCTCTAAACCTCCTGGTCTGGACCTTGTTGTTGAAGTGCTTTGCCATTCTGTTTTGATAACTCCCAGCCCTAAGTGAGGCTTGCTCCCTTATCTCTTCAAGCAAGTCAAGGTGCTCAGTAGTTTGTGTCTCTCTATTTGTCTCGAGCTTTCTTATTGTGGGAAGGCTAACCTCGATTGGGATGGTCGCCTCAAGTCCAAAAGCAAGCATGAATGGCGTTTCACCAGTTGTTGTCTTGTGCGAAGTCCTATATGCCCATAATATCGAAGGCAGTATGTTAGGCCAGTTACCTTTGGCGTCCCCTATCCTTGTTCGGAGGTCCTGCAATATGATCCGATTAGTTACTTCGGCTTGCCCATTGCTTTGTGGGTGTGAGACCGAGGTCAAGCGATGATCAATCCCATTGCTGGCGCAGAAGTTCCTGAATTGGGGATTGTCGAATTGCCTTCCATTATCTGTGATGAGGACTTTAGGTATCCCGAACTTGTATATGACGGACTTCAATATGAATGACCTGAGCTTCGGCTCTGAAATTGTTGCTAGAGGTTCGGCTTCTATCCACTTTGTGAAATACTCCACTGTCACAGCTACAAATTTTAATTGTCCTCGGACCAAGGGGAAAGGCCCAAGAATATTAACTCCCCATTGCTTGAAGGGAGCTGAGTAGTGAATGGATGTTAGTTCCTCGGCAGGAGCATGTATGACGTGGCCAAACTTTTGGCACTTGTCGCACTTCCGGACGTAATCTGTGGCATCTTTCTCCAAACTTGGCTAGTAGTATCCATACCTTATCAACTTATATGCAAGAGCTCGGGCTCCCTTGTGATTTCCACAAATGCCTTCGTGAACTTCAGTCATTGCTTGAAGAGACTCGGAAGGTTTGAGACATCTTAGATAGGGAAGTGTGAAACTCCTACGGAACAGGACTCCTTCGATTATACAATATCTAGCAGCTCTATACCGAATGCTTTTGGCAAGCCGAGGGTCTACAGGAATGTTGCCATTACTTATGTAATCAACTATTGGATCCATCCAGGAGGGTTCATGATCGATGTCCATGACACTTGGCTTCTGAGCTATACTTGGTTCTGCAACCATCTTGATGTGCACGGTTCTATCGAGCCCATCCATACCCATGAAGATGAGTCTGGATAATGCATCAGCCTTGGCATTTTCGGCTCTGGCTACCTTCAGAATTTCACAACTTACGAACTGCCTCTGGAGGTCATGTACTTTCAAACAATATAAGCTCATTTTTTCATCCTTTCTTTCGAAAGACCCCTCGATTTGTTAGACCACTAGCTGTGAGTCACTGAAAACTTTAACGCGCTCGCACTCAAGATTTTTCCCGAGTTCCAGGGCTATAACAATGGCTTTGTACTCTGCTTCGTTATTGGTAGCTTCGAATTCAAATCTGAGAACGTATTGTATATCGTAGTCTTGTCCGGACTTGTGCCCGAGCTATTGGATGCTCCATCAACAAAAATCTCCCATATTTCTAAGGTCGAGTTCGAGCCCTTGGCCGGTGTTTCTAAGGATCTCGGAGTAAGCTCTGCTATGAAGTCGACTAAAGCTTGGGCCTTGATTGCAGGTCGTGGCTTGAACTCTATGTCAAATTTGCCGAGTTCAATTGCCCATTTCAGTAGCCTTCCTGAGACGTCCGGCTTCTAAAGTATATGTCTGAGAAGTTAGTTGGTGAGCACAACAATTGGATATGATTGGAAGTATGGCCGTAATTTTCTGGCAACTATTACTAAAGCAAGGGCGAGCTGTTCCGCAAGCATGTATTGTGTTTCTGCATCGAGGAGCACTTTACTTACATAGTAAACAGGTTGCTGACTCTTCCTTTTTCCTTTACCAAGACACCGCTTACTGCGTTCTAAGAAACGACCAAGTATAATAGCAGCGTGTCACCGGGTTCGGGTTTAGTAAGGACTGGAGGCGTTGATAATGTCTACTTGAGCTCCTGAAAAGCTAAGTTGCATTCCTCATTACAGTCGAACCCTTTATTTCCCTTAAGTACTTTGAAAAAGGGGAATCACTTGTCTGCTGCCCGGGAAACAAACCTATTCAGTGCTGCT